ACAATGGTGAGAGATACGTACAACGGAGAAACAGTCTGCAATAGGGAGGAAATGCGACCTTAAGTGCGCATTCCTTAAGCACGTGAACTTTTGTATAATATGCAGACTATAGTGGTTGCTGCGGTGCATTGATGCGCAGATCACATTCGGAGAAATATGTTAGGGTCGCAGGGAACACGGAAGAGGCCATCGTACGGTGGCAAGAATTTTTACCTAGACAAAGATACCCTTTCAAGGTACGAAGATCACTTCCCTTTGAAAGGGGTAATATGTTTTCTTTTTTTTTTTTTTTTTTTTCTCCTTAAAGATGTGGTTGGAAAACTCTTCACACGGCACAAGAATCCATTGGTGCGCGAGAAAGCTATTGAAGGCAACGATGTACATACTGATGACAGGAATTAACCTGCGCAGAATGTTAGAAAAAGAGAAAGGAAACGCAGGTTTTTCTTTCAAAGGGCTTTTTTTTTTTTTCTTTGTTTTTTTGGTAGTCTCGTGAATATTTAGGAGCAAATTACAATCTTCCGTTTTTTCGCGGTTAACGCGTAATCGTTGTGGCAAGATTCATTTTAGAATTACCATTTTTTAATGAACGTGCTGCTTTCGCCCATTTTCTTGTTTTTCGCGCAGCGACGCATAATTCTGTTTTAAAGCAACGAAAGAAGAAACGCGGACGGAAACAGAATCGATCCGATCGGGCTAGCCGAATTTCGAATTCGTGTCTCCCGTTTACTACAGGCGTTTACATGCCACAGAATCTAACATCCAAGATGGCCGCTATGTGCCGTAGGAAAACACAAAATAACAGGGAAGATTTAAATTTAGAAATATTCGAATTTAGAACAACGTCTGTCAACATCGAAAGAATTATTGTATTATTATAATCTGGAAGAATTATTATTTTCATCGAGATCTTATAAAGCTTCTATTGCTTTATCTAATTCTCAAGTACACGAATACTTAATTATGAAACTTCAAACATCTTCAAATCAATACAGTACAACATTTATACGTTAAACGTAAAGGTTAAATACAGTGGTACATTTACTGCAAAATATTTTGTATTTTAAGATCGGAAATTATCGAGTTATTTCACTTTTAGAATTCTATTTAAAAAGAAACTGGCAGAAGTACGAGTTTAAATTCTTGAACTTAAGAAAGGGCGAAGCCATCAACATAAACGTAGTAAAATTCCGTGTAACGAAATTAACATTGCAAATATTTACTACGCTATATATATAATTTATACATATATATAATGTATACATATAAATTATATATATAGCGTCAGATAACGGAGAAACAATTCCAATAAGACGACGGATGGTAGGACGGAATTCAATTTGAATTTTAATCATTGTTCGGCAGGGGAACATCCAGCGGCGATGCAACATGGTGGCCAACTGAGGCTGGCAAATCTGCCATTCGTAATGATCTCGACGACGCTGCTAGCCTTCCTGAATCATCGTTATTGAACGTAGCTATCGTCGTGGGATCACGAGATACTGATTTCGAATATTCATCGGTAAATCTTCCTTCCCTCTAACGACTCGTCGTGGAAACGTTTAAAGGAGAGACTGTCACACAGTGTTACGCGAGGAATTTGATTTTTCAGCATGAATACGTGCTGAGCAGCCGCGCTTTTGAATCAAATCTTCGAGTCGAGTTGCTGGTAATCTAATCGCGAAGTACGAGCGAACAGTGAATTCCTGATTGCAACAATGTAATAATATTTCGAGAAAATTTTTATCAGATTAGGAGAACACATTTGCTGTTCCGTCGTGATAAATTAACTGCAAGATTATTCTGAACTATTTTATCATGGACTGCGGTTGCAGAAATTAATTTCACACATCTGTGAATTTTCCAATGAAACGGTCTTCATTATCAAGTTTTATATTTCTTTTTCACAGTATCCTTTTCTGGCTGAATAAAAGTGTATATTATTACGAAATGGTAGAAAATTTTTATTGCATTGAAAAATCTAAATAGCACACAAATAGAAAGCAGGAAATACACTGAAAGTCTTTATTGTCCGATTTCTCATAGTTTTACGAATTCGTAATTTTTATTTCCTACGTAAGTCAATTAAGTATAATTTCTAATGATGACGGTAAAAGTATTGTTATAACTTCTATTTAATCCTTTATGTCAATGAATTTTCGGGGAAACAATTTACGAGCACGTACTTCAGATAACGTTCCACTCTCATCTATAACAACATATAGACAGTGAAGAAGAAAGTCTCTAAACGGTGGAACTTAACTCGGACAGGGTTGGTCTAACAAAATCTCTTTAAAACTTTGTACCGTTAAATATCTTCTAAACCATTAACCTGTTGGCTTCATAAATCATTCATATTTAAAACGCTATTACGAGCGAGCGAAAGTTCATTAAAAAGTGATATTTACACCCTCTTCTCGTGAGAGAGAACCCTCTATGAACCGTTGACACGAACAATTTAAGCATATAATTTAACTTGAAAGACCATATTTAACTCGCGAATAATTGATTTTAATAGACAGTGATAGATTTCATATTTTAACGATGTGATTATCCTGTGATTTTCAGATTAAATTAATACGTCACTGCCTTCTGAAAATCGAAAAACTAGAAAGGTCCACGTAGAGAAATGGCTGCTACGAGGAGAAAGTGACAACCATCTTGAAAGTATACGAATCACGTTAAAAAGATATCGATGAGAAATGGAATGGTAAAGTGATATTATTGGATCAAGAGCATGGAATAAGATCTGTGAAGGAAGGGGGCAAAATGGTGAAGGTAGAATCGGACCATATTGCGGCACAACGGATGCTGAATGCATTATAAGAAAAGTAGTCTGTTATAATGAAATAATATAAGACTTAATGTGTAGGATGTTCCTAAATTGAACAATCAAATCATATTTCCTTTACTTCGTGGATCAAGGTAATGAAAAAAAAAAAAAAAAAAAATATGAAATGCGCGATACATTTTTTCTAAATAACCGAAATTTAATAATAAATATAATAAATGTTAGATCAAATTTCACTTGAATTGAATGTTCCTTCGTTTCTGTTTAACATGGACAAATAATAATATCAGTTGATAATTTTATAGTTTCTTTACAGTATTTTCTTCTCTTTGTTTTCTCAAAATGCTATAATGTGTGTGTTTGAAATACTAATAATTGTTAATACTGAAATTAATTTCCACTGATTTTTCAATTCTGGAACATCTTATATTAAAAAAAAAAAAAAAAAAAAAAATGAGAAAAAATAAATAAAAAGTAAATTGTCAATGGTAATAATAGCTCGCTGAAGACGAACCGTTTAATGCTGAATAAAGTACGATTTTATTTGCTATGTTACAGTTACGAGACAATACATTATACTTGCCAAAGGAAATGTACGTAATTATTGTTGACATACGATTAAGATTTATAATCGTTTCGTTATAAACGACTTATTATACGAGGTGGATAAAGTATAACGTTATAAATGAATTTTTCATAAATTACTGCACGTATTGATTTCATTTTTTGTTTAATTAAACAGAACTAATAGTCTATTTATTTGGCATATATTACACTTTAAACATGTATTATCCAATTTGATATAAAAAAAAAAAAATATATCTCATTCCCACTTAAAATGAATAAGAAAAAAATCATTTTTTAAACTATCATCCTGGAAAAATTTATTCCAACGATCGTTTGATTTGTTTGCACTGTCTAATTTTATGAAATCAATATCTGTAATAATTATTGAAAAATCGGCGTGTAACATTGTACTTGGCTCACTCTATACATATACTATGTTACACCTTTTAAAAAACGAAGAAATGCTAAAGAAAATTTGTTTCATCTGTGAGATGATAAAAGCGGAAGAAGAGAAAGCGTAAACTTGGTCTCCAACCAATGTAAATTGAGAATCCGGATTAAAGGCACGAAATAAATCTGGATTATCTTCGAAATCGATCTGGCTTCAACGAATTATAGCTTCAAACGAAAATAAAAAGGCGTTTCACCCTAAAAGGACAGTGATGACAAACTAACAACAATGTTTGGTTAAAAAATAAAAAGCACAGCAATCGTTATTTTCATTTTGTTCATTGTATTTGTCCTTTTGTTGTGCTGTATGAAAATATCTGTCTAAAAAATGAATAAAGAGTTTTTCGACGGAGGTTCGAGAAAAAGACACTGAACTATGTTCGTGAACTAGAATCGCTGTAAAAGTTAGTCAAGGTTAACACGAACATACACGAACTAGGAAATTAACGGTATATTGAAAATCGAAATTCGATCGAAACGTTGATCGTTTTAAAAATCATTAATGCGCAAGATATATGTAGAGATCGCTTGAATTTTAAATTAATATTTTTTGGAACTAATAAACGATCATAGAGTTCCTCAGTGGGAACAGGACGAAATTTTTAATAAGAATATGGTCTTGATTTAACTGGTTGAATCACGATTAGCGGTAAATCGCAATCTGTTATCGCAGTATAGAAAACATTAAACTCAAAATGTAAAGCTGAGGAGATAACCGAGTAGGAACAACAGATACTATTAATCTAATGAAGAAAAAAAAAAAAAATCATGCACTTATTCGGTTTTAAGTTTCACGTTGTCTGTTCTGCAAATATACTCTCGTTAACACACGATCCATGTTTTCTCTTTTTTTTTTTTTGGAGAGGGCATCCGAGCTCAGGGTATACTTTCACACCATTTTCGGTGATGATAGAAAACTTGCAATTTGTAATGTATTCATCGTGTATTAACGCATCCTGTCGTTCGTGTACACACACGATATACAGACAGAAGAAAACCAACAGAGTATCATAATAGTAAAATGAAAGCGAGAGATCAGTTGTGTTAGAATTGTAAGTTCACCTTCGTTGAGATATAAGGGTCGAGTTACATTTAAGGAACTCTTCGCTATGAGGTAACTAAGTACTTCTCATCTATCGTTAGGCAAACTACAAAGGCCAAGTCAAGAATGGCAGTATCGATAAAAAGAAGAAAAAGAGAAAAAGAAAAAAAAAAAGAATTGGACGCGTGGACCCAAAATTAAGATCATTCTAATTGGACCAGAATAACGACTGTTATATTTTATTTAGTTATAAGTTTTCAATAAGCGTCGGTTACGTATGTACACTGTTAAAAATCAAGTTTCTCCTCGTAACCATCCTGTGCGTGTATTTGAGTGAATGCGAGATGAGAGACAATGATAAACGGGCGAATGATATATTAAGAGCAAAAGAAAAATATTTCAGTAATCAAATTAAGGAAAAATTGATTCTATAACGGTTACACATGTTCAAAGATTAATTGCAAAAGTAGTTTAAGCGCGTTATACATGGAAATTGAGACGCATTTTCTGTTATAGCTGTAAATGGTTTCTGTTGAATCGCAATATACGATGATTCATTTATGTACTTATCTTCTCTCTGACTAACTTTACCAGATTGAAATAAAAGATTGTCAATCCCTAAATACGACAGATGATTTATATAATATTAATAATAAAATTTTATCACATGTAACGTATATTTCCATTCCGATGTTCATATTATATATCGGTGTAATTGTGCTTTATTTTGTCTTTTTAGTCAAATCACACAGTTTCCAAAGGATCAGCATCATTTTTGGATACTTCTATTAACACGGATTTGTTTAAAAAATCATTTAAGGTACATGCAAATATTCTTAGAAAACCACGTTCGGAATCGGAATGATTTGTTAGAATCACGTTTATTCCTTGGTGCGTTGCATCAAGAACATCATGGTGCAACATTTCTCCTGTAAGATACAGATTGGCAGATGTACCTTTCAAAACGGATCCTCCTGACCCAGCACAAACCGCAACAGTTTTAATTAATCCATCTGAAAAATCAAAGTTAAATTACAGCGTTCTAAAATTTACGAAATAACTGATAAATTTTAAAACAAATCGATACCTGTTAGATGACTGCGGGCTAATCTAACATACTTCAAACCAGTACATTTTTTCACTAATTGCACAGCATCTTCTATAGAAATTTCATTTTTTAAAATGCACATTCTTCCGTAACCATTATTACTATCTTTTGCATTTGGTTGAATTGGTGCACTACTTTCAAGCACTTAAATACATAATATCATCAATTGCAAAATAATATCGAAATTTTGAAGAAACATTTTGGTATCTAAATTTACCATTTTCAAATGCTGAAGCCAACCAATCATTTACTCCTCCTCTTATTGAATCGAAACTTGTATGCGGAGAGTATACGGCTATCCTATTTTCCAAACATTTTGCAACGATCTTCTCCTAAAAATTCTTGTATAAATGATAGTAATTAACATAAAATATAAATTTAACATAAAAGACCAGCAACGAATTTCCCATTACCTTCCATGAGCGAGTTGTTACAGATTTCATTGGAGCAAATATTAAAGGATGATAAGTAATAATCATGTCTGTTTTTAAATCTAAAGCTTCTTGCATCACACTTTCAGTTAGATCATTTGTTATAAGAATGTGTGAAATTAGTTTAGTTTCTGTAGGCTCAACCAGTAATCCTACATTATCCCAGGAATCTGCAAGTGATGGATCTGCAAACTGTTGCAACGTATCTACAACTTGTTTTAAAGACACTCCAGTAATATTCAATTTTATATCAGTATTCATTGTACAGAATGTATTATGTTTGAGTGTTATATAAGAAATTAGTCCTTTACAACTGTGTCTCAGCTCTCTCAAATGCCTGAACATTTATAATAACCTAAAAAAAGAAACAAAACAAGACTATTATTATTATTATTTCAAATTATTATATACGCATATTATTACAAATTACAATTATTATGTAAAATATAGTACATAGTAATATTTAATTAACGATAAAAGAAGGAACAAACAAGATAAATCAATAGTTTATTAATTATTTATTGCTAAAAAGTAAAATTACATAAAGTAACATTTATTCATTATAAAACCAAATTTTCACTGAACCATCGTCACTAGCTGATGCAAATTGTCCTGGGATAGTGGGGTGCCATTGTACACAATTTACATCTTGAGTATGAGCAGTATCCATAGAACAAACCATAGTAAAATTTGGCTGATGAGGATCAGAATCACTGTCTTCTTTAAATATTCTGATAATATCATCACCACATGCAGTCACTAATAAACCAGTTGTCTTGCACCAATCAATATCATAAATCGTCCTTGTATGATAACCAGTTATTGTACACACGCATTTCCAAACAGATTCATTGTTTGGTGTAACGATTCCTGATTCATTATCAGGCTTGTACTCTTGCCATATTTTCACTGTTTGATCATCACTACATGTTGCAATTTGATTACCCTCCTTGTTCCATGCAAGACTCCAAACTGTTGATGTATGGGATGATAATATTGCTATGCACGACCAATCATTATCCCCTGGATCTTCCTTGAATATTTTTACTGTATTGTCGTAACTGGCAGAAGCAACAACTTCTTCATTAGGATGCCATCTTACCTATAATCATTTTGATATATACTTCATATGTCCATGATACATTTTATATAATAATATATCAATAACAACATAATCACATTTAACATAAAAGTAATAATACAAATGATAACATTACCATTTAACATATAATGTTTACTTACCTTCTTCACATCTTGAGTATGAGCATTAATAACAGCAGCACATTCATATTCATCATCATTTACCTCCCATATCCAGACAGATTTATCACGGCTACAAGTAGCTAACAACTGGCCACTACAAGACCAACTAACACTTTTCACTTCATTCTCATGCCCCTCTAACGTCGCATTGCATTCAAATTGTCCCGACTTATTATCCCATATGGCAGTGGTTGAATCAAAACTAGCAGAAGCTATGTAATTCCCACAAGAAGACCATGCTATCTCTCTTATAGTTCTAGTATGACCCTCTGTCAGAATGGTTTTCACAACCCATTTTGGATCTTGTTGTCCCCATATTATAATTGTCTTGTCTTCGCCACAAGATGCAAGGCAAGTGCCATTTGGATGCCAACAAACATTCCACACCCTCCCCCTATGACCATTTAAAGTTTGTTTTAATTCCAATGTTCCCATCTCTACCTGTAACAATAAATTCTTTTTTTTTTAAACTTAGTAAAGAATAGTACAAATATTGCAAGTTGGGAAAATATAGGTGGGAAATGTTTGCGCATCGTATTCAAGTAGAAGTCAAAAAAAAATTTTTTTAGAGTTCTTGTTTATACGATAATGTTAAAGGATAAAAAAAAATTATTTTACTTTTTAGAACATATTTTTTAGATAAAAATTTGAGACACGAAATTATGAAAATAAAAAGTTTTCGATATAATACGATATGTTATATTCGAATACTTACGATATACATATACGTTTTAAAAGTTCATCAATTTTTCAGTATATATAAAAGGAGAACTTATGACTTGTATATGAGTTTTATTATTTGCATACGTTTTGCACAGAATTATGATATAAAATATACACAAAATAACAAAAATGTCACGTGCGCCATATAACCATGAACCATTACTGATAAGATGATGAATTGTTTAAGATATTAGCAATGCATATTTAAATTTAGATATTTTTAAAAGTATTTGAAACTAAGACCGTCAGTTGTCATTTATTGGACAAATGTAATATCATTATTTATGATTCAAAAATTTGGTAGTAATTACTACTACACATAGAGCGAAAGTTTCGGCGGGGAAATACAAAATTATATTTTACATTGTGCTTGCCTCTTCATTGTTTACATTATTATACGAAATGTGAAATATCATTTTATATAATGCAAATCTGTGTAATTTATTTATTTGATTTCATGTTTTGTACAGTTTTTATAAATATAAAATAATTAAATTACGATTAATTAAACTTATGGTTGTTTAGAGATAAGTATAGTAACATCAATCTGATGCTGCATTATATGACGTAGATACCGACAGTGTGTCTGATTCTGGTAAAGGTAACATCCTGGTGCAAGAATCAGGAGTCCTAGAAAGATTTGAGAAGAAAAGAATCAAATTCAAAAATTTCTCTTCTTTTTTTTCTTTTACAGAAAACTAAATAACTTACACATCCTTCAAAAGATGTAGCACATGTTTGTGCTCAATTCCTTCAAGCCATAGATTTAATAATTCTTCTCGTTTACACCTTAATAGTTGCTTGCAAGCATTCAAATTTTCTTTAACCGCATGAATCTTTTCCCGAGATGCAGTTACCTTTTCTGATAAAGCACTGAATATCTACAATAAAAAAATAACGAAAACATTATAGATGTAACATCATAAATCAATCATTGTTATACATTATTTATTATACATTAAATTATACATTAATATATATACATTATTTATTATACATTAAATTATATATTATTTATTATACATTAAATTATATATTATTTATTATACATTAAATTATACATTAATATATATATTATTATAATGCATACATACTTGCATGACTTCTGTAAGATCCTGATCATGTAATGATACCAATTCATCAAGCCTTTGATCGCTTTTCTTATATTCTTTTTCAAGTTTAGCTTTTTCTATTTCTCGTTGTTCATTAGTTTCACTTGCTGACAAAGCTCGAATTACAGAAATCAATAAACCACTCTGCAAAATATATGATTAAAAATCAGACAATGTTATATGTGACTAAAATCAAACAAATATATGACTAAAAATCAAACAAACAATTAAAGAAATTTAATGAACTTACCGTTTCTTTGGTTGGTTTAATACCTCTTGGAGGTTTAGTGGGAGGTATTGAATTCATCTTTTATTTTTTATCAACAAAAATAAAAAATACGATATCAAATATTTACTAAAATTCACCTAAACTTAAATGTTATGTAGGTTATGTCACTTTACACTGTATTGCATAAACTTACAGTGTTTTAAAGATCATTTTTCCAAAGATAGTTATCAAGGATATGACAAAATTAAAGAATTATTGTCTATACTATAAAGATTAATTATTACGTATTTTATTTATATAGTCTATATTGAAGTTTTTAAGTGACAGTAGGTCACATGATAGCTGACACATTTTTGACAACACAAGAATATAATTACTCACCTATTTATATACTATTAAATTGTACATGAGACAATATAGATATTAATCAAATAATTCAAATAATGATAACAATTTTCTTTATTGATATATATCCTGGCATAAACTTAAGATATGTATGCAAGTCTTATGTTTGCTAATGCAATACAAATTTTTCTAGAATATTGTGTATTTTCCTAAATTGTGTAAAAATGAAAGAACAGATTTTTGATTACCAAATATAAAGATGAGCAAATATTATCAATATTAAAAATATTTTAACATCATTTTCTTAAACACAATGCTATATGTAATATTGGTGTTTAATTATGTAGATTATTACATACTTTTATAAATTACAAATAATGTACACGTACAATAATAATGTACTAGTTTAGAAAATATTAGAAGGGTAAAGATAAAATAATTTTTTGATTTTAAAAATAAAATTTTCTGTGTGTGTTTGCTAATATAATATTTTATATAAATTTTGAGTGAAAAATAAAATATATATACACATTTGGAGTCAGAAAAGGCTATTGTCACTCTTACTTTTAGACAAATCTCCGTTAGTTGCAAATCTTTCCACTTATATTATTTAGTAAAAGTATCACAGAATTTATCGTACAATTATATTGCGTGGTACTTTCAAATTGTCTGTTGTATTTCACAATTTAATTTTCGTTATTTTTTTATTGTAAACGTAAAAAATATTGTGCAGCGTTTTAAGCAAAATATTAATGATACTTAACATAAATCTAATTTGTAATTTTGCTTACAGAGTTTCTAAAATTTCAAAATTCAATATACTTTTTTTTGGTATCAAATATAAAACTTATAACAAAATTGATTGAACTTTTAATAATTTTAACATGTTGAAACGTCCCGATTATGATATAAATATTTTATTTTGTGTACACCAAATAATTTATTAAGATACTACTGTTATAAACATCAATGCAGTAAGAACCAAATATAACAAAAAAAAAAAAGAATAAATTATATAATACCAATGTCTCATAGATCATTAAGGAATGTATATTCTAAATAAAGGTTAAATTATTTAGAAATCATTATTTAAAGTACATAACTATTGTTTCAACATGATAAAATATATATAGACACATAAAACTTCATGTTTACATTTGCGGTAATTGATCAATAGGTGTTGCGAATCTAAAATCTTCTGGAAAGAGTTTTCCTGCATGAGGATACATTAACTTATACGACTGTCTGATCGTGACATCAGCTACACCAGCAATGTCACCAATTTCTTTTTGCGATCGTTTATCTTCCGATGCCTGAATAATAAAACAAATTCATGAAAATTATAAAAATATAAATTGGAAGAATATTCTTTCAATTTTGTCGAATATATATACCTGCGATGCCATATAAATTGCAGCTGCTGCTACTGAAATCGGTGATCGTCCAGGTACAATATCAATTTCTACTGCCTTTTTCGCGATATGCGTGGCAGCCCTTTGCACCATATTAGGAAGTCCAAGATTTGAACAAAATCTTGACATGAAATCTCCAGTTCTGATAAGATCAACGCTAGTTTCAAGTACTTTTAATATTAGTTTAAAACATCTTCCTATTTCCTTCTTACTGATTTTGCTAACAGCACAAATTTCTTTGAAAGTACGAGGTACACCTTCTTGTCTGCAGGCAATATACAAACAAGCTGAGGCAATGGCATCATTTGCGCGACCTTTTAAATTTTTGCCATCGTGCACTTGTTTAAACAAATTATTTGCTCTATCAACGATAGTCTTAGGCAAGTTAATACGATCAGCCATTCCATTGATTTCACGAAATGCATTGATCAATGCTCTGTCAGAACTGCTCATCTATAAGTCATTGATTAATCAAGAAAAATGTATATTATAAATAGAATAATATGATGATACGTACTGTACGCCTGTTTTGATATTTTGAAGCACCAAAAGCATCAAATGATGCAGCACCAGTTCCAGGACCAATCATAGTAGATAAATCTGAACCATTTAGAAGTGGATTTTCTGGTCCACCAACACGTGATGGATCAACTCCAGCTTTTTCATTACTGAATGTTCTCCATTCTGAACCAACATCTATCACCCTATTTAAAAAAAAAAAACAAAACAGTAAGAGAAAAGGAAAGTAAGTTTCATTTTAATTTATACACATATTATTTTTAAATTAAATTACAGGTATATATTTACCTGTCTCCTACGACTAATCCACACTCTGAACAAATCTGATCTCCAGCTCTGTAGTCTTCAATAAGAGGTGCATCTGGATGCGCGTAACAACAAACTTTGTTTGTTTCATGTCTGCAAAAAAGAACTAAGAAAATATGTACCACGCATTAGTGTACTCATGCACTTAAATTAATGAATACCAATTGCTATATTAATAACGCATTTACAAATATCTGTGTTGGAAAAATTTTTTTAAAATTGAAGTATTTTATTTTCACCAACACATTTATGTACATTAATTATTACCATGATAATAATAGTTTAAATCTCTTATTTAACAAGTGAACTACACGAAAATATAATTAACAGAATAATTTGTTATTAAAATACGTGGAGAATAAACAATGTTACTGTCAGATCTTATGGCCATAACCTATAATATCATGGTATTTATAAATTGATTCGGTCCAATTACGAGTTATTACGATTTATAAAACAAAGCTTTGTGATAAATATTATCGACGTCGAATCGTCGAAGTGAAATTTTTTCAAAATTTACCTCGACGAGCTAGCCATATTTTGGATTCGTGTTTTTTCTACTCTGCCGCGTCGTAACACAATGCAGACACTTAACACCTACAATATTTATACACATGTATAAAGAAATATGAAGTAAATGTAAAGGTCAATACTCAATGACTTTAAAAATTTGATTCTATTATGTAACAATAAGATAAATTTATTTTTAATGAAGTAAAATTAAAAAAAAATAAGTTAGATTGTGATAAATGAAATATAAATTCATGTATTGAATAAAAGAAAATTAAGAAAAAATATTTGTGATTGTTCGCAATGTTAAAAGGATATTTTTATAGATTAATTTTTTATAGATATTATTTATTTAATCGACAACGATTACTTTATAATTTTCATGTTTGTCCGTTTTATGATAATGACATATTTCTTGTTTATGTTTTATAGAAAAGAAGATTGCTATCTACAATATTGTGTAATCAATGGATTCGACGTTAATCAGACAATTTATTCTGTGATATAGATAATAAAATGACATTTAACCTAAAATGTTTATGTTATAGATGGAAATAATGGTTGTGAAATCATTTCAATAAATTTAAAACTGAATATTATTTAATACAATTTAAAAAAAAAATTTATATGCTAAAATTATTTATATGTTAAAAAAATATATATGTATATATAAAATTATTAATATGCAAAGAAATATATTTAATAGATTAAATATTTAAATTAATAATTAATGTTTGGAAATTGTGTAAAGAAATAAATATTATATAGAAGCAAGTCTTTACAGAATTATTTAATTAAAGGAATTATTTGATTTATTTACCAAATTAATACAATAATAACAATATACAAAATGACATTAGAGGACGCACAAAATGCAGCGAGAAAGGCAGTACAATTTGATAGTCAAAATCAGTACAAGCAAGCCTTATATTATTATAACATAGCTGTAAAATATCTTGTGGAACTGCAAGATCCTGTGTACGATCAAAAAATTTCTGAATATCAAGAGAGGATAATAACTATACAGAAACTTGGTGAGTGTTTCAAGTTAGCTTATGATATGTATTTATAAAAATAAAAAATGAAAGAAGAAATATGTTATAGTTTGCGAAGAAGAACAAAAACATCATATAGCACAACCTACAGATCAATCTAAGTTACAAAAATGCAAATTTCTTATGAATCAAGCGCAAGATGCTGATGAAGCTGGTTTAAAAGACATTGCTGTAAAATTATATACAGATGCTGCTGAACTAGGACTTAGCGTGGTATGTAAAACAATTGTTAAACACAATCATATTATTATAATTCTATTGATAATAGTATAATTACAGAAAACTAGCAACACACAGACAAAAGCTAAATTAACAGCACTTATAAAGCTTGCTCTTGATAGGGCAGAATCTCTGAAAGGTTTGAGGACAGTGGACAGTAATGACATTTTTAAAACCCTTTCGAAATTACCTCCAGTACCTGAAACTAATCTGGACGAAGATATAGACGAAATATCATCTACAATTACAAAAGTTAATACTACAGAGTCTAGCAATACAGGTAATCTTTATCATGTTAATGCAGCAAAAAATTCATTTCTGTTCTGATTGCATTCTTTTTATTCCTGTTTTTAATTTTCAGGAAAATCATCTCAACCACTTCTTCATCGAGGAAGCAGTGCACATCTGAAAGTGAGCGGTGGCAGCAGTAATTATTCAGAAGAAGAGAAAAGAGTTTTGCTTCATAGTTCTCACATCAATGATCATGAATTTGTACCTTTTATGAGTATTGATCTTACAGAAAAGTTTCAGTATGCTATCCCGTTTACTGACAAAGACGGTTTATTAACATTAGCGCCAAAACAGAAACCTGATTTTGCAAAATGGTGCCGACCAGAAGAATTATTTTCTGACCCAAGAATGCTTAAAACGAGCCACGTTGATTATTATAGTATCAAACAGACAGTCAGTAAAAAACAAAGCTAGTTTTTAAATTAATTATCTTTTTCTTGTTGAAATGTAATTATAAACTTTCAATTTCAGGTTGTTTCTGACTGTTCTTTCGTTGCTTCTCTCGCAGTTAGTGCTCAATATGAAAAAAGATTCGGACGTAGACTTATCACCTCTATTATTTATCCAAAGAATAGAAACAAAGAGCCGATATACAATCCATTTGGTAAGAATTTATACATTGTTGTGCATGTCATGAAATTTTTTTAATTTCAAGAATCAATGGTTTGTAATTTTCCTAGCATATTATTTCAAAAAAAAAAAAATTAAATTGGGAGTATTTTATATTAGGAAAATACATGGTGAAACTACACATTAACGGTGTTCCACGCAAAGTTATAATAGATGACTTATTGCCTGTAAGCCGATACAACCAATTACTTTGTTCCTACTCTAGCAATCACGGTGAGCTGTGGATCTCGTTGCTCGAGAAGGCATACATGAAAGTAATGGGTGGTTATGATTTTCCTGGGTCAAATAGTGTAAATTTATTTTTATATCATATTTATATTATAAAGATAATAAACACACAACATGGTTTATCTTTTTTAACAATGAAATATTATTGTTCAGAATATAGATTTACATGCTTTAACTGGCTGGATACCAGAGAGGTGGGCTATAAGACCTGGTGAACCTGATTTTAATAAGGACAATCTATTTAATGTGTTATTAACACGTTTACACAAAGGAAATGTACTAATAACAGTTGCTACTGGAGAATTATCCAATTTGGAAGCTGATAGAACAGGTCTTGTACCGACTCACGCTTATGCTGTTCTTGATGTTAGAAGAATAAATGTAATTATTTCTTGGTTATTTGAAGTATATTTTAAATGTAGGTTTTTATGTTTATAAACATAAAATGGATATATTTTTATAGGATGAAAGATTATTACAACTTAAAAATCCTTGGTCACATTTACGATGGAAAGGAAATTATTCTGAACTTGATGGAATACATTGGACGAGTGAATTAAAGGAAACACTAAATTATGATCCTGATTCTGCGTCCCAATTCGATAACGGAGTTTTCTGGATTGATTATGACAGTATATGTCGATTTTTCGATGTTTTTTATTTAAATTGGAATCCAGGTTTATTTAACTACACTTATTGCATTCATCAGTAAGTTACTAATGATTTTATAAATAACATTGTTCAATTAAAAATGATTGCACAAATTATTAATGATCATGAAATTATTTCATAAATCTTTTTATAAAAATACTTTATTATAGAATGTGGAATGCAGGAATAGGACCAGTAAAAGATGCATATAATATTGGTGATAATCCTCAATTTTTACTAGAAGTGAAAAAGAACGTTAATGGTGCTATATGGATTCTTCTTACAAGACACATTATAGATATAGCAGATTTTAGACAAAATCAAGAATATATAACAGTATTAGTTTATCGAAATGACGGAAAAAGAGTGTATTATCCTCGTAAGTAAAATTATGATTTTGTTCTATTTGTTTTAAATTTAATTATAAATGTTCAATTATACATATAGACGATCCACCGCCATATATTGATGGGGTAAGAATAAATAGTCCACACTATCTTTGTAAAATAAAACTAGATCCTCAAAGCGATACTCGATATACTCTAGTTATATCCCAGTATGAAAAGACACATACAATATATTATACTTTACGTGCCTATGGATCTTGCGAGTTCTCATTAAAAAAGATACCAAATTTTTACAAATATGAGGAAGAGGTATATTTTCTTTATTCTTAATATAAATTTGACGCCTAATATCTAATTTAAAATTTAATAACTAATAGTATAATCATAATTTGTTTAGCTTACTGGTCAGTGGAAAGACATTACGGCTGGTGGATGTAGTAATCATCCAACGTATCAGAATAATCCGCGTTATCAGTTGATTTTAGAAAATTCAAGTAATAATAACTATTTGCTTATTATATTGAAGGGACCTAAACAATATCAGATAGGATTTGATATCTTAACAGTTTTATTAAATGATTCTGAAGCACCTACTGCATTCAAAATGAAAAGCTCTGGCCCATTCAGGTAGAAAATGATACATCATATATAATTATATACAGTATTTATTAATAATTTAATTTAATGTAGATCCGGATTTGTTTATCTCGAACTAGAGGATGTACCAGCAGGTACATATCACATTATTCCATCGACATATATACCTGGACAAGAAGGACATTTCTTTTTAATTTGTAAGTCATATTGCAAATTACAACTCCAATATATTACATAAATTTTATATAAAAATAGATCTTAATAATCATAATTATTATACATGGTAAATAATTATTATTTTATTTCAATTGTGATATGTGAGAAAAGAATATGAAATATTTATATTTATTGTTATAAAATTGTTGATGAATATTCTTATGAGTATTGCATATTGTACAAAGATCACTAATTGATGTTAAAACAAAATGATAAAATATTTATTAAAATATTAATTAGAATTTAAAAAAATTCCATAAAGGGAAGTAAGTCAAGCATTAAATGTTGAATTGTTATAAAATTTTATAAAATATATTCAATATATTTTATTTTATATTTTAAAAATACAAATTAGTAATGAGACTAGATAACTACTGACTGAATTATGAAAATTTGTGGCACTTTATTCATAATTAATAATTGCTTCATATGTTATGATTTGGCACGTACACAGATAAATTTTGACAGATGTAGCTGCTAAATACTTTAATTAACTATTTATAATATTCTTTGTACTGTTTGTATAAATATTAAAAAGTATTACCTTTTAATCAATAACTGAAGTGAATATTAAACAATGTTCATGTAAAATATTTACTAAAAATGTAAAATTGTAAATACAGTAATTATTTTTATATGAAGTGTGTTAATAATGTTTCACCTAGAAATTACATAATACAAAGAAATGGACTAAGATTTTTATATTCCTAGATATTACTGTATTTTGTATCTATTTAATAAAAATTAATTCTAAAATATTATATCTAAACTTTTTCAATATATCTTAATTTTCAATTTTTAATACTGGTTTACATGGTTTTTTTCTATTTTTCTAAATGTATATAATATTTGAGAATATAAAAATATTGTAATTTAATAGGAAAAAAATGTTATTAAATTAAATTTTCAAATTGAACTCAAAATAATATAGCATTCTAGTGCTGTCCAGTCTAAACTTATAATTAACTATAATTATCATTAATTATGATATTATTTTATTAATATAATCATAATTACAAAATAAATAATTAGCAATTCATATGAAATTATGATTTATGAAACAAGAGTTGAATAAAATGTAAATATATTTACATAATTGAGGATATAAATTATAAAAAAAATTATAGGCAATTATACAAGAAAATATACATGTTACAAAGAAACAATAATAAAATGGAATTAAAAAGAAATCTATCAGGTGAAACTGTTGTAATATAACAATTATTAGAGTATTCATTTTTGTTTTATGAATATGATTTGGATGCACACATACAAGGCACTATTAATAATTCAGATAATCATCTACTTTGAAAAATACTAAAATAACATTGTGCTTACTGTTATGTATAACAGATTCACCCAATTCTTAATCGCTTGTTATCAGAAGTATTCAACAATGAAACATGATCCTCTGCAATCCAGTCTTGCTTATACAACAATGTTATGTTTTATATTGATTTTTAGCCTCATTTAATTAAACTATTGTATATAAATTAAAGAAATGAAAACGTATCCTTTGATTATAATTACTATTCAATCCTAATCACAGATAATTTATCAAGATTTTGAAAAAAGTTACATCAACAAAATAAAAAAAAAAAAAAAATACAGCAAATGATTATAATGTACATACATATTATGATATTCTATTATTAACATAATGTTTTGCTGTACACATAAACAATGAATGCTTTGCATTATTGAGTTTCTATTTTGTACAAATATTTTATACCAAATGTACAACATTATGTAATATATAATGTAAGTAGGACCTTTTATTTAGTTTTTATGATCTTGTTTCCTTCATGGATGTACTGTTTTATAATTGTACATACAATTGTATTATCAACTTATAGATTGTTACGTGGATTTACTTAGATAATCTACGAGTCATATTTTTGTGCGTAAAAAATAATTTCATTAATATACGTTACATATGTATAGAACATAAAAGTATCTTAACATTATAAAAATGGGCGGAAAGTAGAACACATGATACGATTATAAAAAATAGTACATTTTGTTAGCATTATTAGAAAATTCAAAGAATATTGAAAATTCTGAATGAGATATTCGCGGGGTGAAATATTTTTCAATATATATTATATTTTTACTTTATTTGATTCACTTTTTATTTTGTATGAAATTATATTAAATTAGTTGCTAAAGCGAGGACATAAACTCTTCGTAATTCTCAATTTTATTTTAAAATAATCTTATTCAACATTAGAATATTATTGTATTTTTTTTTATCATACAAAATTGCAAAAAAATGCAATTTAAACTCTGTGCTCTTTTGTAAGACGGGCAAATAGATTTTGATATTTCAATAGAAACTAAACTATACATTATATAAATGGAATTTAACGTTAATTGCCATAAGAAAAATATTATTTTTAATCAGAGATTAAAATAACAATAAATCGCCAGGAGTTAAAATTTTTTTATGATATAAATATATTATTATTTTCAATATGATAAAATAAATAAATACGTGTACATTTTCTTATCAATATTCAATGATTTATAAATTGTTTCGTAGCTTTGTTTTATGCAATCACATACTGTAACTTACTTAGATTGATTATACATTCGATATTTCTCAATTTTGTGTTAGTTTATATATTTCGTAATATTTTATGGTTTCTTTTCAAGGCAATCTTTATATTGGCACCTCATGTATTTCTAAATTTTTTGCTAATATACTAAAACATTTACAGAGTTTAAGGCGCTATATTAATTTCTGTATAAAGATATTTCTACTATTAATTCACTATGTGAGCAATAATTAAATAAGATTACAATTAAAATTTATGAAATTTTAGCAAAATACTAATTAAAGCAAACAAAATATTAATTATGTCTAGTGAAAGAATTTGATTTTTGTAATTTTAGTATATAAAAGTATATTAATGTAATTTATAACGTAATAAAAGTATATTAAATGTAAAAGTATATTAGCAGCATCATTTGAAGTTTAACTTTCCATACCTTCGCCTATATTTTATACGGATAGAAATAAAGACTGATCGCAGTAATAATAATGGGAGCAAGCCGTAAGAAACAATTATTTCAAATAATACTTCGAGATTAACTTAAATTTAGCTTATTAGTGAACTTAATTTTATCGAAATTTCATTGTTTACAAATGTTAGTACGTAAATTAAAAAGAGGGTAAGCTCTAAGGCGTGAAAAGTTGTGGTGTTTTTCGCGTAATTAAGTTCTAGATAAAAAATATATTCGTAACGGATAGAAAATATCTATTTATAATAGTATATATCTCTCCTATTAATAAATATTATAAGTATATTATTGTCAGAATATAAAATTATCCTCTAGTGAAGTGATATTTTGATAAAATGTAAAGAGAATGGTAATTACAATGCTTTCCGAATTTGTAATATTTTCATCTACTGAATTCAGGAAGTGGCTTAGCTATTCCTTCGCTATAAGCTTTATGGACCGCCTCACATACAAATCTATATTGACTCTAAAAGAAGTATATTTTTTTCATTAGATATAAAGGAGATTTACACATAATCAGTTAGTCTCAATCTAAAAATTTGATTTGTAAATTTCAACTTACAGCATTTTGTATCATCATTGCCCTTTGATCTCTCATAGATCGCACGATGTCTAATGGATATACGGGTTGATTCGCTTCGATAAGACACAGTGCCGTTTCCATTAGGACTAAAACACCTGTTCTGCCAATTCCAGCAGAACAGTGAACAACTGCGGGTTCCACTATTCCCGTTCGAGCTGCCCGTACCTTTTCGGTAAATGTAGTGAATTGTTTCCAATCGCTGGGAACTCCATGATCTGGCCAACTGCAATACTGCATGTGCGTTATATCTCTTTCTTCTCCAGTCTAAAGTATAAAAAATTAATCAATCCTTAACATTTTTCTATTATTTGTATAATATGAAATAATATTTGCAACATGTTTCTTACATTAATATCACGGAGTATAAATTCTCGAAATATAAAAGTATCTTCAATATTTTCAGCGGTAGACGTAAGAGTGAGATTTCGTAACGTAAGAGTTTCATTAAGCGCGGGCCAATATTGGTGGCATTTTGCTCGGCCACGTTCGACCAAAGTTGTAAGCATTACAACGAGAGTACTGCCTGCTTCGAGAACCATCTGCCAGAAATCAGCAACAGTCGAGGATAAAGGTCCTTGAGTGGCAATATATCTGTTGATAATACCAGAGCCCGGTATTTCCATGTTTACGTAGTTAGCGTTAATATAATCTCCACTTGCAGAGCCCATAAGTATCACCCGTGTAACATCATCTGTACAAATTACAATTTTTTTATTTTGTGAAGCATATGTTTTAAATTATTTGTTAGTATAAATCTCTTGCACTTCTCTTACATGGTGAAATATCTCGGTAACGATTTTTGCTCTGATTTTCAGGCTTTTTGGATTCCAGAGATGTGAGTTCAGGATTTTTTCTATATAGTTGTTCATACTGCGCGATTAAAGCACCGCTTGCGAGACCATCAGCAAGAAGCAACATCGACTGTGCTAATGCGTCTGACCCGATAGCTGCATGAGGTGCATCCGGAACATACCTCATTATTTCAAAAGAGAAAAAATAAATAAATATTAAATATTAGCCTTTATGTGTAATTGTGAACATAATATATTAAATATTATTTTTATTATTTGTAATACCTATATGGAGGTTCTTCTTCAGATGTTTCATCAGTACCAGCTAGAGCATTGTATAAAGCATTCGGTCTCACAGTTAATGTCAGCTCACCGGAACCCGAATCACGAGATTGACGAATTAAATTTACTACATGTTCATGTAACAAACCACTGACATCAATTCCATTTATATACACTACCTATTTATTGAATAAATTTACAATAGATAATTTACAAAAATTAACCCAGATAATTCGAAAATAAGCTCAATCTAACTTCATTAAGATATAACTAACCTGATCTCCTTCATTTAATTTCGGATAACAACGATCAGCGGGAGTATTTGGAGCGACCCTCGAGACTAAAATAGGCATATCTAGATCTAAACCACCTTTGACATTAAATCCAAATCGGCCTTGTTCATCTGGCGTTAGAGATATCGTAACTAATCCATCTTCTACTATCTACAAATACTCAAATTTATTTTACAATATTGATTTATTTTATAATGTTTATAAGAATATTAAGAATAAATACCTGAGGAGCAGGCGAACTTGTAGGTTCGCTATAGTCAGGAAGATCATAAATGTTCCTTTCAGCAGTTGTATCATCGTCGGCGTAACTTAAAACTCTAGAACCTAATACAGGCGAAAATGCATTGCCTTGTGTATGCGAACTCGTTATTTCTTCACGGAGAGATAAGAAACCTCCTTCACTATGGTATATGAAAAGAATAAAAATTAATATAAATATAAAAAAGTCAAAGATATTAAATATATTAAATATATTTCAACCAACTCATCACTAGGATTCCCTTCACCCCATGCTCGACGAGGTTCACGAGCACCAAGAGATTGAACTTTATTATCATATGGTCTAGGTGGTCGTCCAGGAGGCACTGATAATTTTCCTTTCTCTTCGATAATTGGGCCTGATGTTACTCCGTGTACTAATCTTTTACTTGGCGATCTAAATGATTTAGATCATCATGTTAATATTATTGTTAATATTATTGAACTAATATTGTGTTATGTCTTAATATCGAATAAATTAATGTTACCGTATAAACGTTCTTTCTACTCTTGCTCGGTGCTTTCCATCTTCAACTGTTTGAAATTCTGTACGTCCTGAATATGTAAATCTACTGCTTAAAGTAAGTGGAAAACGCCTTGGCCTTGTTTTAGGACTGTGAAGCCGGAAGAATGTATGGTGTTCTACACATGCTTTCCATAAATTTTTTGAACTACGATATGTTAGCATGTTGAAGCCCAGCAGAGTATCATAGTTTTCTGACTGCAATTAAATTTGATTTGTACAATATAACAAAATGCAAATTAACTTTTTAATTGCAAACTGAATATTTAAAGTACCTGTTCTCTTCTCAGTTGAATAAAAAATTGTTTTCTTTTAAATGATATTTTTACTATTTTCGACCATGAGAAAACATTGATTTTTATTCCATTTTGAAATACTACTAAACCTATAGACGTTACACCTAATTGTATCTCTTTATTTGTTGAATCCTACAAAAAGAAAATATAGAAGTTGAAATAAAACAGGCCTTTAAAAGTTTTCAAAAAAAAATAATAGAATAAATACATACCCTAGCTTTGTGTAATTCTACTCCATACATATCTAACCTCTTTGCATGGTCTAAAAAATTGAATTCTGCATCTGCTGGTAATTGACCCCTGTAAAATAATTAGCATATTATATAATGTTTTATAAATTTTATAAATTCACACTAAATATAACTTCAACATACTTATGCAGTTTATGTAGTTCAGCTATTTTCTTTTCCATTTCCTCAGTTTGTCCTGGTATCAACTGCAATCTAGAAAGATATCCTGGTCCATGTTCTTCAGGATGATAGTCACCCAACTCAGCTATGATTACATAGAAATATAATAAATACAATAGATTTTACAATGAAATGTATATTACAATGTAAATACATACATTGAACAGTATAACTAGCAATAAGGCATGCTGTACTTGGTGGTAATTGAAGTTTTCCTTGAAGAATATCTCTTCTTATTTGTAAATAAAATTGGTATCTAGTATATTCTTCTTGTAATTTACTAGGATCAGATACGTAAAATTTTACTTTGAAGTAGAATTGTCCACCTAAAACAATACATTATGTCAAATTGTTTTTTATCTTTTTATATTAAGTTATATAAACAAGCATCTGAATACGATCTTTACCCTTACTTCTTATCTGCTTCTTCACTGGTTTGCTAGGATCTAACCATCTCTAAAACATTAATTCAATTATGATGCTATTCAATCAGTTCAAAATTTGTAAATAGATTTTAATAAATTAAAAAAAGAAATTTACCATAACATCTGGTGAATATGTACATGTTGTGGCACCATTTTCAGCATATTGTAAGCCAAAATAATCTTTTTCAACAAGTTCTAAATGTTGAAATACTAAATCTAATAATGTTTGTCCTTTTGCTCTTTTCTAAAACATTTTGAAATATTTACATTATAATTGCAACTCAAGAAATCACTTTTGTTTAAAGCAATCATTATATAGACTCACATCTAGTTGAAATGTGTGTTGTGTGTCATCGAGAAAGACAACAGTAGCAGAAAGAGATTTCAATCTACGATTCCTTGCTAATTCAGCACCACGAACGTGGTAGCTCCCACTGGAGCCACTCAACGCTCTTCGTGATACGCTTTCGATCATTTCAAAGATGCGAAGGCGTGTCAACCACCTTCTCGACACCGCCTCTCTGCTATGCTGACCACCTAAATGGAGAATTATGTGATAAAAGTAATAAAAAGAATTATTCGGGTTATATTAATTGCAAATGTAAAAAGCTGAAAAGAATTGTTCATCAATAAATCAAACAAACACAAATTTGATTCTAATGTTCAATAATTTGGTATGAAACTTGTCAACAATAAAAAGCAACAAGTATGTTTTGGTTTTTACAAAAATTCATCCATGCTTTTAAACATCGGAACTTATCAAGTTTGAGATAAAGATACTGGTTATTACAATTGTAAGGTTATGGCAACAACTATGTTGTCAATTCTGATAAATGAACATATATTGAGTGAGCCAGTCTCATGCAGTGTCACAGACTGATCAATCATAAGCCACTATTCAAAGTAATTACATTCGGAAGATGTCATTGAAAATAAATTCATCGGGTCAGTAATCTAACATCAGTTACATAAGCAAGTTTATGTCTACTAGGTGCCAGAATAATGTAGAACAAGGCATTCTGAAAATAGTTTACATAAAAGAGGCAAATAAAACTCGTCAAATACTAATACATTCGAGTGCCTCCTAACATCAATCCCCCATTAAATAATCATTAAAATGCAATTTTCTTTTTTTTTTTAAATTAATATCAGATATATAAAAATTCGTATCAATCAAAGCTGGAGGAGGAGTAATAAAATATTTTTATGATCAAATTACATCATGATGATAAAATGTAAATTCATTGATTTATTATTTATGTTTGTTACAACGAGAAATATCAATTTATTTTTTTGCGTGTTACAAACGAAATATTAAGATTCACAAATACCCGAAATATTTAAAGCAAGAAGTTTATCGCTAGAAAGACAAAAATTTACTTGGAAGTTACATGAATTAACGCACAATATGCACTACGAATATGGTGAATGAAAATAACTATTTATGCGTATTGCGTGCATTTGTATGCATTACGTTAAACACGGGCAATGTAAAATTTCTTACATTCATGATCCGTTGCGCTATCTTCGATACGGTTTCACAGGTGTTCTCTCGCGGTAATTAAAAATCATCAACGATCATAGATATTCCTGCAATTTAAGTTCGACGGATCGTTAAAAGAAACATAATTTGCTCCGGTTGAATGGAAATTTTTTAAAGAACTTTTTTTTCCTCGTAACTCGTTTCATTATTCCTTATAGCGACATATTACAGCGTTGCAGTTTGTAAATGTGACTCCGATCAAGGCAGTCTTTGTTCAAATTAGTCGACATTATTCACTGTCGGACAATTTTGCCAGGATGCAGGACAAAAGACATTAAACAGTAGAAAACTGTGTATCTTTCACTCATTCAACGCATACGAGATACTAATAAGTCTTCGTGAGCAACGATGTCAATGAATCGTGCTCACCAGTTCTTTCAGGAGAGTTTAACTAAGTTATTATCGCAAGAACGTACACGGTCGTAAAGAATCACATTATCCTTTTAAAATAATTATTTTTCTACGGTAATATTTCATAAAGATAAGAAGTTTTATTTACAGCGAAATAGCTTGACGCACGTAAAATGTAAAACTCAACATTGCACGTACATGTTTTATACTGCACGCGTATATACATGTGTGCGCTAACCATTGGCCATATAATAGGCGGTTTTAAGATTCAACACTTGATGTATTTGCTATTTGTAGATCGTGACGATAATATGTGAAGATGTTTCATTATTTTCATTATAATACAGGAATTTATAGTTTCTTTCGCTTTCTTATCTCAAGATCTCGACTCAATTAACATTTTCATCATATTCATTTCCTATATTTTTTCATTAACATTTCTTTGTTAAACAATTTTCACAATGGCATGTTTACTGTAACAAAAATGAAATTAAGATGACTTATAAAAGTCTAAACTACCGACAAGATCGAAGATCGGAAACGATCAAAAAAGTGAAAGTTGCGAAATATTTGACGGAAATATCATTCGAAATTTACGACAAGGCCGAATTTCACGACGTTTCAAAGTTCGCGCCAGAAATATTTGCGACCATGTTCACAGCGTAACGCAAGGCGGATATGCAACGCCGCAAATTGTACGTTTGTTTATCAACACTCAACACTTACTAACTCGATTTCAACGTTTTACGCACGAGGGAAATTAATCATTAATACGCGTGAATGTTAGTTAAACAAGCGGCCGCTTGGGGCGTTAAGTCTCGTTGGTTTTGACAAACGACTACGTCGCATCAAACCGTTCCCGCCGCGTGGACCATAGTTTGTGGACTACGGTTGCGGTTTGGTTATAAATCCCCGCGATCTCCGCAACACGAGTGACGAATTTCGGTGGCGTTGTAATTATGTTGAGTTGATTTCACAGAACCACGAGGATAAGAACAAGAAATTATGGCAAACGTATCCGTTGATAAGGAAATATTTTTCCGGCGTATGAAGCGGCTTTATACCGCGTGGAAGGTGAGATGTTTGATACCATTGTTTGAGAACAAACGCAGTCATTTGACAAACAACAAATAATCATTTTTTGTTGAACAGGATGGGGAAGTTGGTACAGATGATAGTTTTAGTAAAATGGATTGCCTTGTCTCTGCAGTGGGTACCGATGAGGATATCGTGTACAGCAAATCGACAGCATTGCAAGTAAGTTGTACTCTATGTTGCTACAATGTGCTCTTGCTTCTTGTATACTTGTTGTATACTTATAAACAATAATATAACCTAATTGTTATAATTCTAAAAGATAGACATTTTTGATAGAATTCTGCATTTTTTGTGAGCATGAGTGTATACCTTCTTAGTTTATTACAGTAAAAAAAAAGAACAATTTCTAAATTGTGTTACTAAGTGTGTGCTGGAATTGATATTGAAAGATATCGGAGTAAATTTCAATTATATAACTAAAATGTTGTAATCTTGTTTTATCGTATTATACAAATTTTACAAAGACATTATACAAATGATATAATCTTCTTTTATTATATGAATTTTAATTCTTTTTTGTTATATAAATATAAAAGGTAAAATTAACATTTACATTTTATTTCAGACGTGGCTCCTTAGTTATGAACTTACAGATACTATAATGATATTAGCAGAGGAGTCTATTTGCTTTTTAGCTAGTAAGAAAAAAATTGAATTTTTGAGGAAACTAGAAAATCAGAAAACAGAAGAAACTGGTGTGCCTTCTGTGAAATTGTTTGTGAGAGACAGAGTATGTATTTTTCATAGTTTATTAATATAATTAATATGTATTTGTTTAATATTTAAATAGTGAAGTATAATATTTTATTTTCAAAGTTGGTGTTAATATCTTTCTTTTTTTTTTTTTTAAAGAACGATGAAGATAAAGCAAATTTTGTCAAACTTATCGAGATTATAAAACAAAGTAAGAAGGGTAAAATATTGGGTGTTTTTTCCAAAGAAAATTATCCAGGTGCCTTTATGGATGCATGGAGAGCTGCATTGAAGTCAGAATCTTTTGATACGGTGTGTAATGTTTCTTTCTTAACATACAACATACTTTGATTATTATTTCATAATATATGTCAATCTTTTTAGATTGATGTAAGTGCTGCAGCAGCATATGTGATGTGTCCAAAAGAAGACACTGAAATTCACACCATAAAAAAAGCGTGTTTGGTATCTGTGGATGTTTTTACCAAGTATCTTAAGGATCAAATTATGGAAATTATAGATTCTGATAAGGTATTCGATTTCTATTCGCGTAGAAATATGTTTTATTCTTAAACTTGCGAAACTTTTGCATGTTGAAGCTTTTTCTAATATGTAGTTATTTTTATTTTAGAAAGTTAAACATTCGAAGCTTGCTGAAGGTGTAGACGCTGCTATAACGAATAAGAAGTATGTAACTAGTGTCGATGTTACTCAAGTTGATATGTGTTATCCTGCGATAATACAAAGTGGTGGGAATTATTCCCTAAAGTTTAGTGTCGTTAGCGATAAAAACACTTTGCATTTCGGTGTCATCGTTTGCTCTCTTGGAGCGCGTTACAAGTCTTACTGTTCCAATATAGTTCGAACACTGTTAGTAAATCCTACTAAATCCATTGAGGTAAATTTCAAATAAATAATAATATGCTTTAATAATGAATAAGTTTAATAATTATGTGCGTTCATTGTAGGATAATTATAATTTCCTTTTACAATTGGAAGAAGAGATTCTGAAGAAGTTAATGGCTGGAGTGAAGATAAGCGAAGTTTACGAAACAGGGGTGAAGTACGTAAAAGATGAGAAACCAGAAATGATTGATCATCTAACCAAACATTTTGGATTTGCAATGGGTATCGAATTTAGAGAAAGTTCGTTACTTATTGGTCCAAAAACTCATGCAACATTAAAGAAAGGCATGGTGTTCAACGTAAATGTTGGACTGGCTAATCTTACGAATTCAGAAGCTATTGATAAGGAAGGAAAGATCTATGCACTTTTCATTGGTGATACAGTTATGGTTAATGAGGTATTGATTTATATGCTTCAAATACTTTCTTTTTTTTTTTTTTTTTTT